TATTGTTTGATACATATCTAGTGTAGTTCTCTTGAGGTTCATTATGTCAAAATGTCGAAATGTCATTTAATTTTTCTAACCAATGGTATAATTCCTTCGCTTGGTAAAGCAGCTTCAATATATCTCACGCAAATTAATTAATGTACGCAGGTTGGTTGAATCACGTGACCCATGCCATTTTTTTCATCAATGATGTACTTTTAGCATTTTTTTTCTTCAGAACTCCTCCTGTGTTTGCATTCAACATTCGGATGTAAACCTTTTCCAAACTCATTGGCGCTTTTGAATCCAGAACTTGGCACTAATTGGTAAAATTATCTTTAAACCATGTTTTATTGCTATTAATTGTTCGCATTTCAAATCTCGTTTTGATCTGACGTATATTTACACACACGGTCCTATATATAAAAAAGAAAAAAATGATAAAAATGAACATTTTACATCAACAAAAAGGACAGACCGCAGTTATCTCCCTTCAGCTGTAATCTTACCCCAATCTGTTTTCATGCATGACATGTTTCACTCTCTATTTGATGGAAGATGAAATCCTGGTCTATACATCAAATAAATCAGATAGGTAAACCAATATCTTCTGCTATCGACTAATAAAACCATGCACGCATTAACAATATGTGATATACGTTAGTAATATAATAAAATGACAAAAATATCTGTTAAACAGTGTAATAAAACGATACATATAAAAGCTGTTGTTGATATCAGATTAAAAATTTGATAGCACAAAAAGTGTTCATAGCGTTATCAGTGCAAGTTCCTCTGTACTCCAGTGTAAAAAACATAACAGAATATATAGCTTAATTGGCGGATAACTCTATCACGCTGTATGTTTACTGTGTAATTACTTATTTCCACGCATCGCTATTCGTTAATCCAGACGCTCTTCATCTTCGGTCATAATAACGTGATTTACATGAGAATAATTTGTACCCACGATATAAGCATTCAATTATGTCTTTGTCATTTTTTCAAAAGATATTTCTGATTAGCGTCCTAGTCTAATACTGATGCTGTCCAAAATCACATTGCTGACCTCTCCCTTTCTTGGTATGTCTGATACTTAGTATTTGTAGGGTCATTGGGTAACGGTCATTGTGTTTGAAAATAGAGCGACATTTTCAGGTGAAAACATATCAGGTATAAATGTTGTTTCTCACAGGAACGACTGCAATGTCATTTTAACATTTGCATTCTTTAATTAAACAGATGAGTTTGCCGAATGGAAATCAGTTATTACAACTAACAGTTATAATTACATTATGCTAATATTTTCGAAGATTTTTGAAGTAAATCTATTTTATCTAAAGAGGTACACTCGCCACTTAGAATCACAAATTAATTATCCACTTCTCTATGATTGAAAACTTTCTGATTTATTTTAATTGGTAAATTTGCCAACGCCCATGAACAAAACATAGTCATAGAGAAACACATGTGTACACGAATCCAAAATTCCATGATTTAAAAGTATTATGAAAATAAATTCATCGTAATTAAAAACTTTATGATTTAGTGTGAAATGAAACATTAGCCACATTGGTGCGATGTAAAGTGATATTCTGGTGTCATGCTAAATAGCAATGACTTTACATACATTACTCACAACAGATTTGCCAAAAGCAGAAGCTTTAATCACGTGAGAGATCTTTCGACCATAACTTATAAAAGTAACTTGTTGCAATATTCTTTATCTTCCGCCAGAACTAATGAATTAAATTGTCCGCTAATTTCTGTTCGCAGCTATCCTTTCTAATGGGTACCTTTATTCAATAAGATAAAATTAACATCATATATGACTAGATGCCGGAATTGTTCACTTTCTTTTATTGAATGCTCTAATTAACATTCAAGATAAGTAATGTATTTTTATTTTCATAGGCATACATTCTCCACGAGAAAGAGATGAATGTACTGATACCAACAATAACTTATATATTTTATAATTTGTAAACTAGGTCTATCAATGATTTTAAATAAACAGAAAATTCAGAAACGTTTCCCTAAAGATGGAATGGATGAATATAACCAAAACTTTCACCTTACCCATTTTTAAAAAGAAAAAATACACATTATAACATCGCTAAAAAATTGATTAAAAAACTTGTTCTAGGATTCATAAAATTGTAGAGAAAAAAGGAAAAAAAAAAAAAAAAAAGAAAGAAAATAACGTGGCGTCGACAGAATTGTTATTTTTGCTGTTACCTGTTATTTGTACTTTCACGTCTCTGTCTTGGGACATTGTATGCCCTTATCGTGAGGCACAAAATTTCTAAATAAATAGATAGCGATATAAAGTATTTGCAAGGAAACGTATCTTTGAACTTAAATTCATTTGTCATTAAAGGCACCATTTTGAAAATAAACTATAGTTAATTTATCTTTAAATAGATGTTGTAAAATTGAAAAAAATGCAGGTTTTGGTCTTGCAATGAAAAGGTTTAGAAACGTTTGCTCATTTAATGAAAAGGTGTTTTCTACAAGTATAACAATTTGGATTGTAAGTTTTCTCCTCCGCAAAGTCCTCTCTTGCTATAGTAACGAAGTGTTTACAAACGAAGCTTCTATCACTCTCTAGGTGTAAATTAGTACAGAGGGATATCAGATGTCGAGACAAACTGCAGGGCTACCAATGTCCTTTAAGGTCTGTGTGTGACTCAGATTCCGTATACAACACTACCAGTTACGCATTATTGACACTGCTAATACCATTGTTCACAGACACCCATTTTAGGAAAATGGAAGAAAATTTTCGAAAGAAAACCACAAAAGACTTTGTCACGCGTTGCAAATGAGGAGTATTGTCTACAAGTCTCATCTGCAATTTGATATAACGCTCGTGTTGTGATCAGGTAATAGGGTTATCTCCAGGTTGGTAATATCTTTGGATCTTTATGCTGTTTAAAGCTTAACAGATATTAGATATTCAATAAAGTGTACAGAAATTACTTTTTGAAATTAGAAAAAAAAACACGTTTTTGAAATTAATTGTCAACATGGCATGGTTAAAAGTGAATATGTCTGACCTTTTTCATATCAACATGTACTTTTATAGATAGAGTTTGGAATTCACTTTCAAGTGACATTTGAAATGCTTGTTAAAGTGTGTTATAAATTCGACTTTTCTCTCAACAAAAATACTTTTCAACAATTTAAAACTTGAAGTAAATGAAGAAAAATAGAAAATAAATGATAGAAGAAATAAATCAATAATAATAAAAAACACAAGCACAACTCGTTCTCGAATGCCAAGTAACCGCGTTAGAATTCAAGCTGTGATTTCGTTGAATATTTTCATTATTTTGATATAAGACATATGGGATATGGTAAATGATATGCAATGCTTTCATTTGTATTCTATACATGTATGTTAAATATAAAAATATAATCACAATTCCACATTGATCTCAATGGCCTCTTGAGATAGAGTCACAGAATCTTATTTGTCTATAAATTAGATTTATCTGTATTTATGAAAATTTTTTTGTCTAATTTATTTATCATATTCTATACTTTACGATAAATTGAATAAACAACTTTTCAAAGATTGAAAATTCTCTTGATATATTCGTTTTCAATCATCATGCATATTTGATGTTGTTGGTTGTCTAAGATGTATTTCTAATGTGTATTGTATTGATTTCTCTGCACTTTTTGTTCAGTTCGAATTTTTATCCCACGAAAACAATGCAAAGTCGTTGCAATGATATCTTCGTGTTAAGTTTCCTTTTTCTTTTTGGTTTTTCATTTTCATTAAGTTTTATTTTAAATTGAAATAACTGAATTGAACTAAATTGAAATATTCTTACAAATCAACTCCTATTCTTAAAAAAACAGATTGAGCGAAACGATATTTAATATTCTTTTTCTCTAATATCAAGTGAAATTAATTTAATGTTTTTGGAACTGAAAGCCAAATAGAAATACCTGTCATGTATAGAATGAAGAAAGGACTAGAGTGATTTTACTTCTGAATGTATTTATCATTTAGGAGGATGTGTGTAGGTATGAAAATCCAATGTGGCTCCTTTTGGATTGTTTTATACAAGTTGCACCAAGTCACCCCAGACATAGACTTGTTTCCTGTAGTGACTATGTACTAACAACCCGCTTTAGATAAACTACATGTAAAGAAAACAACAAGTTTACAACAATCATCAAGGTTTAGAATTTATTAGCTAAGGTATATTTAAACTCAGTAGATCTCCTCCGCTTCACATTTTAACATAATTAAATTTCTATCGGCTTGTTCATCAAAGTTTGAACAAAATAAACTACGTTATCGTCATGTAGCGAGGGCTGCCCCCATTCACAACGCTGTAGTTTAACATATTGTAGTCACAACCCCTATAATTTGAATGACAATGACAGATTTTAAATCTGAAGTACATGGATCGTTTCAGCAGAATATATATAAATGTATCTGTAACACACAGATTTGTATCCTAGAGCTGATCACAGGATTACCTGAGTTGAGCAACGAAAAAGAATTTTATGAAAAACAAGAAAGACATCATCAGGTGACATCTGATACACCAGGCTGCTTAGAACATCGATCCCGTCCATAATTATAATGTGCTGCCACCTAGCGGGCTAAATGACCCCCGCAGACGACAGAGCATAAACTGGCCAATCGCTGTCGCCTACCAGAAGCCTATTCACCAGAGGAAACGAACTCAAAGAAAATGATCGAAAGCAATTCTACTGGCCAGTTAGGATTGCTCGTCAGGGAAAGTGCCGTCTTCATAGATATAGAGTATCTGCTGATTTGAAGGTAGAAATTTCCATGATATTTATTTCTTGTATCAGAAAATCACGAACGATGTTTAGTTTATGAAAAAAATGACTTTTAATACATATTTGTTTTTGACTTTACGATAAAGTCAACTCAAATTATCATATGATTTCGACAGGAAATAATTAGTTCTATGATAATAGAAAAACATATTTTGTGATATAATTTAGCGGAAGCAGGAAAAACAAACATGAAGCCAATTCTGCCTGTTCCAAAACACGCTTCTAATGGATTTTCTATAGACTCTTTGATTCACAAGGACAGCCATACCACCCCGGGTACAGAACCTCAGCACAACATCGCCAGTTCTATATCATCTGGCTTGTCATCCTCAGCTCAAGACACAGCACTGATAGCGGGCAGGATTCCTCCACTGCACCCGGCACTGCCTCCTCACGTGCGAAACTTGCTTCTAGCCGAGCAATCTCCATTAAATCCTAATGATCTACTGACATTACAACGTTCTGCAGCATGGGCGTTTCAAAATACCATGGCTCCCGGGGTAACATCCCTGGGTAGAACTCTTCCTCCTCCAACGGTTTCCTCTCTCCATCCCTTTTATCCTGGACTTTTAGGTGCTAGCCGAGATCCAACCAACATGTATCCCTGGATGTTGACACGGCATCCTCAGGGTCTCTTTGGTCTTCCATTCGGTAAGTATTAATATATTTGGATATGAAACAATTGTCCAGGTGATGTAATGTTTACTATTTAAAATTTACTTGTAAAATATAGACAATATCACTTCGATAATCCAAGTGTGTGTTAGAAACAGTAAGCCAAAGTATGTAAGATAATTTTTAATTTTAAAGAATGTGAAAATATTAAAATTCTAAAAATAGATATTTAAACAGATATCGATTGATTTCTGTGTTCGGTTATTATTTTATTTTGTTCTGGTAGAAATGATTTTATATTCATTAATTGACAACAGTTCTGGTTTTATTGATTGTACCTATCGATTATTATTTCGATTGTGCCAGTAGCCAGATTTTGTTATTGCATTTTAACTGAACTAACAATTGTTACTTTGAAATGCCCATCAAAGGTTTATCCTATATTTGTTTTAAAACATTAAGGTTAATTTTTTTTCTTGTGTTGATTCCAGATTTTTTTTATAATAGATAGAAATTCAAATTTACTCTAGAGGAGATTGAAATGTATCACATAAACTATATTTATGATATAAACATTTTGTGTGTTTGCTCTTAATGGGTAATCGTGGATAAACCTCTCACCTTATAATGAAATCAATTTATAGATCCTACAGAAAGAAAAAAAAAGTATATATAATATCAATATTTTATTGTTAACGTTTTGATTATAAAACAAATCCTGAACGAAAACCAATTAAACCTGTAGTTATGTTTTTACTAAAATGTCTAATTTCAACAGCAAATTATTTATGACGACGCCGATTTTTTTTCGAACAATTGAACACAGTAAAACCAGCGATATCTTCTTGACTTCCTGGCGCGACTAATACAGGATTGTGGCTATACTTTTTTAAGTTGGGTTTAAAATGTAATTCATAAAAAAACATTGACAATGCAAAGGGCCATTAATCTTCATACTTAGGAACGTTGATTTCTCCGGCCGGCAGTTCACCCCTGGGTACCTGGCAATAATTACCCGTGGATACATGGGTGTAATCACCTGGGGATCCATACATCACCTGTAGATGACACCGACCAATTATTGTATATCGACTATTAGTGATTTTGAAGAAGTTTTTAATATGGTAAAACGCCAGCAGTGTTTTATTCTGGTTTTATGAGGCTTGAGGTAAATTGACCACATTAACAACAGAATTAGGTAAATTACGTCAATTAAGCACCAGATCATTGGTTGATTTTATAAAGAAACCATTCTAAAATTCTGTCGTGATCTCCGGCGGATCACGACTTCAAATATATCATATGTACAGGCGTTTATCCTTGGTCATCGGCAATTCTAAACACCAAAATATCGTGCTTATGGTATTTACAAGAGAGACACATTATAAATTTACTATCCATGACCCGTGTTTCCGGGGTTGAAATCTGTTTTCATTATTCAATAAACACGTCAAATTTATTGTAATAATTGCATGCAAAACTATCTCCTGTTTAGAATAATGTAAACATAAATTGCCTGTGTAACCTTCGGTTTACGTTAACAATGTTTATTGATGTTATCCCCTTTTTCTTGGATTTTTAATTGCTATTACAATTTTATTTCCCATCGACATTTATCAAATAAGGAAATGAAACACACACGTTTTTAACTTTAACCAATGTGCAATTTTTTTTTCATTTGATTCCGAAATTGTAACTTGAAATCACAATCTATGAATCAAGGCCAAAAAGTAGATATATTGCTTTCAATCTTTTTCTGAGCCGGTAATTCATTTACAAAGAAGACAGTTTGTAAATAATATTTTTTTAAACAAGTAAGCAGCTTACGAATGAAACTGCTATAAATTTGGACATGTTGTATTTTAAATCTCTCAAAAATAAACAAATATATCATTCTGTAACTTAAGAAGAATGAGCACCATATGACTTCAGTGTGGCCTAACGCCGCGCTCGGTTGTTGGTATTACTCAGTATTCTTTGGTGAGAAAAACACCAGTGTTTTGACATATGTAACAGAGAGATTAAGGGCTAAAACAAAAAGAAAACATTCCAACGTTCTCACTGACACAAAATATAGACAGAAAAAGGTGATAGTTTTGAATGCTCTATATTAAACAAAATATTATAAAGACATAAAAAGATGATATATTTGATGCTCTGTATTTAACAAAATATTATAAAGACAGAAAAAGGTTATAAACTTTAATGCTTTATATAAAAACATGATTAATTTGCTCCCTGAAAATCTGTATTACATATTTTATGACTAAGTATTTACTAAGGTATGAAAAAGGCAATGATTTATATTTGAAATATTAATGTTAATTCCATGGTTATCGTCGAGAGACGGAAATCGAAAGGACAGATAGGAACCATTTTACGTTGAGGCAGATTACTATAAAAAATGTTGAATTCATTCAAAACTTTATTCATTTGGGCATAGGTATTTATCTTTTAGATTTTTTAATTCAGTGTATCAATGTAGAATATGGAAGACTAAAACTCAGGACTCAGAACTAAAAATAACCTGCATTTTATCTTATATCATAATAAGCGTAAATACAAGGGTGAGAAAAATAGTTGATATATTTATTATCATAAATCTAAATTATTTTGAATATATAATAACAACATATACCATCTACACGAAGAATTGAAAATTATATTCAGATGAAACTTAACTTATTGATAACATGAATGAAGGATCCAGATTTTCATGAATTAGATATGATATAACATTGATATTTTCATATACAGGTGACTAATAATGCTGGACAATTGAAGAAAGTTTGAGAAATTAGAGGGATTTCTCATAGGTAACTTATTTCCTGTAGACAAAAAACGATATCAAAATAAATAGAAAAATAAATAAATAAATAAATAATGAGGAGAAATACTTTCCAACGACACAATGCTTAATCTTTAACGGATAAGATATATGGAATTAATGAAGACGATAAAACATAAAATGCTATATATAGATATATAAAATGCTATGTTTAAATATATATATCATTATTTATATATAGAATTACATTTTTGAAGAGATGACAAACATTGAGCACTGGCGCTTTCTCAAAATTAAATTGACCCTAGCTCTAAAGGACTGAGTCAATAAATTCAGGTACCTCTAAAATTAAAATTGCACAGAAAATATTTAATTAATATCAACACAAATATTCTAATATTGATATAAATACAAAAAGGTTTTAGTTCAGAGAACGTCTTCATATTATATACATTATATAATGTTAATTTCATATTTGTATATGGAAAGATATACCATTTAATAGAAAATGTCTCGAGCGACATTAAAAAGAACATCTACAATATTGATGTTAGACATTTATGTACATATATACATATGTTAAATCCTTTTACTGGCTGGGTAGTCTTTAGTCCATTCTTTACATGATAAATCATCAAACATTTTGTATTATGTTATGTCTTACTTGATACATACCAGATAAAAAGGAAACCCAGACAGGACTAAGAGCACGTGGCACCTCACCATTGATACATTGTATAATATTCAGTTATCAAATAGATATTCAGTATGATTAATATCAACAGTTATTGAAATTGATGACATATCATTAAAAATGATAATAATTTGCGAGAGTTAATTGAGATTCATAAGGTTATGATATCTGTGATTAATCCTGCAAACGTTTGGCAGCCTGTTAACCCACTAACAAGGCGTTGATAGTGTTATTGGTCCCCCGGGATTAACGACAGTGATTTCACAGTTCTTCGTCAGGAGCGAGGTTTCTGTGTATCATTTTACCGTGACGTGTTGACTACACAGGGGTTTACATTTCATTGCTCAAACTATGATAATCAGAAATGGATCAGACCAGTTTTTCCTTAAAGTTTTAATTAACAAATGATCAAACGATAGAATGTAGTCAAGTGTAACTAGTACTTAGAACCAAGTTCCCAGATAAACGCTCCCCCGGGAGAGGGGCGTGGTTACACGGAGATACACAGTGCATTTAAACAATGTGAGGTTGATAAGGTTCGGGAGTTAATTATATGTATACGACAAGTGTGCTTGATAAAGATAATACAAATTGAATTTAATGATGTGAACAATTTGGCTTACACAGAAAGTGTCACTTATTGTACGTTTGTATTGTTTGAAATAACCGCGTAGGAAGCTCGTGTCATTTACTCCGAGAAAAGTCTTAATTAGAGGAAGTCACAATGTATCACAGAAATAACCAGAACTTGTTCGACGATACTTCGTACAATTACAACTATTGAATGTATTATAAAAAGGAAACATAATTGAACTAAAAATAAATCATTGTAAAAATATATCAGATTAGAATAAAAAATGTTTAAGAAAAATTGTTCACTCTAAAAATATTTTGAATTAACTTTACAATAAAATTTCCTTGGGCGACCTACACTCTCTAAATAAAGAACGGTTAAAAGCCACATAAAAGATTATATAGGCCCATGTCTTAAGTAAATATACTGATTGACTTACCAACTACATCGTACCTTGCCAACCCTGGCAGGTTACCTTCTTCAATATCTGCCCAAGATTATTTATCATGTGTTCAGATAAAAGTATTCTATTTACACATGTACATCCAGCATAAGGAGTAGAATTGTTGAGATTGGAATTTATCAAATTGCCATTTGAAAGAAAGGCATTAAATATGTTATTTAGCAACATTTATACGAACAAGACAAATGTATTACAAAAACAAGTTGTTTAGGTGTAAAAATGTTGACGTCTTTCCATTCACAAAATTCTTAATACACACAATTTATATCCCATTTAAAGAAATATTATATCCTTATTTAAAGTAATGTGTTTTTTTGTTTTGTTAAAATACCTGTTTATGTTAACACTTAAACGTTGGAAAATATCATTTCTGTTGAGGACACTAGAAAAACACCTGATGGAGTTACCTGTTCTGTTTAACTAAACATTTATACTAATGCATTAACTGTCCACCTGGGATACGTATTTAACATTTAACGTAGAAACTGTACTTATGTCTTTAAAGTTTATGGGTATT